GCTGAACCGACAGGCTGCAGGCTGAGCCCCATTCTTGCAGGACCCTCCAACCACACGCCTGGGGAGAGCCTGGGGCAGGGCGTGGGAGTGCACATTTCTGCAAAGGTGTTTCCATTTGCATCTACCGCCATTTCACGCAGACGCGACCACTTGTGCAGCTCCCTCCTGCCCCCCAGCGGCCTGTGAGCCACATCCCAGTTTCCAGTTCAGTATCATGGGTGGGAAGGGAACACACCCTCTTTCGGCTTACTTAAGGGCTTCACCGTTACTTTACCACAGAAGACAGTTAAGGACAGTCATGCCCTTTCTAAAGGCACTTAAATGACCAGGATACCGCTGAATATGGCCAACGGTGAAAACAACAGACACTGCTACCTAACACAGACGGCCTGCCTGTCATCACACCATATTCTGAGTTTTAGTTTGAAGATCTGCAAATAAACCTTGCAAGGGTAGCGTTCATCAGGTGCAGAGGTACAGGAAAATATCATTAAAATTCTTTTCTGTAAAAACGTACCTACTTGAGCTTGAAAGGAATTCATGTGCCAAACTATTTTAAATATTTTAAAAGAAAAAAAATTAATCACATTTCCTAACTTCATTTTTTATTTATTGTTATTTCCAAAGCAGATACGCTATGATGAGATATTTTAAAAAATACAATTATCTATCCTCAAAACCCTGGTTATGCAGGAGACTAGAAATCTCTTGTCAGACTTCTTTATCAACCAGTAAAGTATAAAGATCAACCTGTACTCCACTCCACCAAGAAGTTCAAGTGATATTATGTCTTTACAAAACCTTATTTTTCAAGGAATGTCTTGCAAAGAAGCAGCTTTTATAATCAGGAAGTAAATCAAAAGAATACATTAATGTCTTGTGTTTGCCTGATAATAAACTGAGAAAACTCACAAAACAGATTATTGATAGATATTTTTTTTTCATTAACCAAAATAAAAGTAGGCTTTAGATTCACCTGGTAAGGCCTTACTTGGGCAGTGCACCAATACAATTCACTGAACTATGCTTTCTATACAATTAGGAATTAAACAAACCCCTTTTAGAGACTCACCTGAGATGACATTTAATGCTGAAACCAAAATAAATAACCTAGCAAAAACAAAATTTTTAAGATTTCAATCATTTCAACTTTGGAGATATCTGTTCACCAAAATTAATCAACATTTCTAAAATAGTTTAATACAAAATTATAAAAGAAAAGTGCATTAAAAGCAGAACCTTTAAACTCTGGCGCAATTACAATTATTCTGAATAACAGACTGCAGCCAGGTATACACACTGACATCCAAGAAAAACCTCAGGATATACAAGTCCAGCATCACAAGAATAAGTCAAATAAGGCTTTTTTTTTTTCCTCCCTTAAAAAAATATACAATACATAAAGCAGTTTGGAAAAAAAAAAAGTAATATTATTTAACAGTTTTCTGACTTAAATATTTTCACATAACAAAAGGTTTTATATCACTATCAATGTTACTCATATACATATGCCAGAAGCGTGAACAACAAAAAATCAAAAGATGCTCCTTCAAAAAATAACAGTAAAATGTCTTTCTTCAGGAATCTGAAATGAGCTCCTCTCTTAATATACAAAGTCCATACAATATTTATATAATAAAACTGCTCTCTTCTGAAACCAGCGAGGCAATGAGAGAGAAAATAAAGGCGATTATTTTTCAGGAAAAACAAAAACAAAAAACCAACCCCAGCTTTATGTCACAATGACAAGGATATCCATTTATTAATAAAATGAATACAATACTGATCTGAAGTGCTCGTTGGGAGGTAAAAACTCTGTCGCTCTCTCTGTAACTGGGACTAGTGCTTATTTACAAAATATACTGTTCGGCCACACAGAGGCCCATATATCTGTATATGTACATATGTATTTATATATAGAACATATAAATAATTTCAAAGGAGAGATTCACATGAAGTAAAGAAGTTTCCATCTTTGGAATGCTGTGGGAACGACACACACTCTGCCCCAGCGCGGGCAGCGTGGGGTAGGATTTGGTTTGGGACATGTTCAGCGTGGCACCATTGATGATACTAAAGAATTCCCTGAAATAAAAAATACACCTGCTTATGCACGAAGAGAAAACCACGGGGCTCGTACAGGTTCTTACCCTCAAAGTACAAATACGCTTCTTGATTACTGAGGCGGACAGGGCTGCAGTCCCTTTGTTCCCAGGAGACCATTCTGTGATTTCGGACCTGCAGTGCATGGCTTGTGCTTTCTGCGGTAGCCCGACCCATGTACCCGAGTATCAGCTCGGGCAGTGCGAGTGGCATCATCCCGCGCGGACAGCTGGATCCTCACCTGCGTGTCAGGCTTACTCTACTTCCCGGGTGTACGCCCCAGACACTGCATTCTCGTCACTAATGATTAGATATTTGTAATGGAGAGAGAACTGGTCCGGCCACCTCTCAAGGTATTAGTTATATTAACTTATGGTAGACTAAAAATTAGAGTCAATTTCTACTAATTTCAAAATTCACAGAGAAAAAGATGGAAAAAGCTTCCCTGCGTGTTGTAACATTTTTTCCGAACTTCATGCACCTATCTTATGTTTGTTTCGTGAGCTATGCTTCTTATAACAGAAAGCATGAAGGAAAACCTATCTGGGTTTTTCCACGTTAACTTCTGTCTTTGCTAATACAAAGAAATCACACTACAATGAGAGTCAGATCCAGTTAATTTCTGTTTAACTAGACGCACTGGCCACGGAGTAGGTGAGGCTGCTGATGTACCTGAGTTCAGTGATTTGCAGATGACAACAGCAACGCGCTTCTACCCTTCCCAGCTTTCTTCCTGAAGTCTCCGAAAGCCAATGATTCTTTAGATAATTTTATAGCTAAACATTTTATAGCTACTGTGGTAACATTTTTAACACCCGAGGCTTCAGAACAGGAATCCCAAGTGCTCTGTGCTTCTCCACACTTCACTCTGGAGACGTGCTCGGGGCCGGGCTGCGTCAGAACACGTTGGCCAGGGCCTGCCACTCGCTCGCGGGTTCCGGCTCCACCTCGTCCAGGTGGAGCGCGCGGCTCAGCACCTCCCCTCCGTGCTCCTGGGGGCCGGCGGGTTCCTGCAAGGCTCCTGCCGTGGTGATAAAGAAAAGAGCCCCAGACATTCACTAGCACAAAATTATTCACGTCTAAATAAGGACAACTTAAACGGAGACAAGAAATTCCTAAGTTGATTTGTTTTCCTTCCCGGTGAAAAAAGAGCCATCTGAGCTGCAGGTTTCATAATTCCGTCGGTGGTGACAATTACTGTTACTTGAATACGAACGCACACAGCGCTCGTTCCCTGTGCTCAGAAAGGCTATGTTCATATGACATCCTTGATGAGCAATTACTAATTAATACTAGTGATAACGACAGGCACAATTTTTCTAGCAGAAAGTAAAACACGGGGCACTAGCGTGTGGATGTTAGAACTTCCTCTTCCTCAAAAACCTCGCAACACGAAGGGCGCTACCCCTCTGGCTCCAGGAAAGCCCTGGGCACTACTCCCGCCACGCTCAGGCCGTCCGACTCCCCTCGTGGTCACAGCACCCAGACCAGCAGAGCGAGCCCAAGACGCAGGCTGTAGCCCTCCCTGACTCGTCGGAGACACTCTGCGGGCTGCGTTCCAGCCCCCAGCCCAAGCCCCCCGCCCCTGCCTGTCTCCACAAAGGGTGCGGGCATTCCCGGACAACGCGGGAAACAAGGCGCGCAGAGGGACGCCCCCGCCCTGCCGGCACCAATGCCGGGGAGTCAGCTCGGGGACACGGAGGCCCGTCTGCGGAGCCACAGGGCACGGACTCGCCCGACCCGGACCCCGAGCCTGAGGTGGGGACGCGGGGCCAGGCCCTCGGGGCCGGCAGGCGCCGCGCGGCCGGGACGCCTCACCTGCGTGGCCATGGGCCCGCTTCACGTGCAGCCTCATGTTGCTCTTCTGCGTGAAGCCCATGACGCAGTAGTCGCAGCGGTAGGGCCGCTCCCCCGTGTGCTTCTTCATGTGCACCTGCAGCGCGCTCTTCTGGTTGAAGGCCTTCTCGCAGAGGGTGCAGCGGAATGGCCGCTCCCCTGGGGACAGATGGCACAGTCAGCGTCCCGGACAGATGGCGCCCGACGAGCACACACAGCACAAAGTAACCCCAAAGAAGGGATGCGAGTTTAACAGCAGGCTAAGGACGTTCCTCGCCCAGGACGCTAACCCACAGGTTCCAGCAAGGCCACTCCACGGGGAGCCATGAAAGACACCTCGATCAAAAGCTACGGAAAGTCCTAGAAGCACCCAGAAATAGAGGTAGAGCACATATGGCTCAAACAAAATGTTTCTAATCCATCTTGAGCAGAAAAGCAAAAAGACATTAAGGACATGGGAATATCAAATTCAACTAACTAAAAGTATGGTTTATACAATATGTTTCAAATGGTACTTAACTGCTTTCAAGCTGACGTGGAAACTGACAAATGGAGGGAAAAGTTGCCAAGCGTGACTCTTCTGCTGGGAGCCTGCCCTGGTGAAAGCCTGCCCTACAGCCACACTGCGGAGCCCGGCCCTCCCCACGCAGCACCTCTCTCTGCCTCCACCCCCTGCGGCCCTGGCGGTCCCACCACCCCTCGCTGTCACACACCCACTTCCAAGTCCCAGGGACCGAGTCCCTTCCTGCCCCAGGGACTGGCACAGCCCTTCCCCCTGGCCTCGAAGGTTCTTTCCCATGTGCTCTGCCTCGCTGCCTCTCGGGGTCACGTGCCAGCACCCCCAGGGCTGCCCCGGGAGCACCTGGTCCTCAGCCCCCCAGGTGTCCCTCCACAGCCGGCAAAGGAGGTCTTCCTGCAGCTCGCCTAGGGCAGGCAGAGTCCTCAAAATGGCCCCCCAAGGTCTCCTGCCCTGAACTCCGGGCCTGGGACTATGATGACGTCATGCCTGAGAAACAAGAACGGCCACAGATGAACTAGGTCGCTAGTCAAATGACTGGGAGTGACCAAAAGGGAGACTGCCCTGCGGGCCCACTCTGATCACACCGCCCTCAGAAGCTGGGATTCCCTGGAGACGGGAGGGGAAGCTGAAGACATCAGGAGCTGGAGTGAGGACAGGGCACCCACATGAGCAGGGACGTGGCCCCAGTAACAGCCACAAGGTGCCCACTTTACACACATGCCAAACCCTTCACGTGCATCTATGCTATTAAAAATGGCAAACAGTCATTTCTCTTAATTATGCTTTTGAATGAATGCATTATGAAGTAACCGCACGGTTGTTTTTCACTCAAGAGCTACTTGCTGGACTCCCGGTGGGCACCGGGTCTGCGCTGACAGGCAAGGGGCATCCCTGAGGACACACGGCCTGCAGGCTGGGGAGGGCTGCCGGGCACCTGCTGACCACACAGGAGGCCCTCACGCCAGCCGGGGCACCAGCGGGGCAGGGCCTCTCGGGAGGAGGCGCCCGTGTGAAGGTGAGTCAGAGATGGCCGGCAAAGGGACAGAAGAGCTGGGAAGACGATGACCCGCCAGAGAGCACCGGGAAAAGGGTGGGCGCCAGACAGAGCTGGATGGAGGGAGAGACCTGCCCGTGGCCGGGGGGCCTCGGGGGCTCAGGGAGGTCTGGCGGGCTCTGCCGGGGGTGCTCAGGGGGAGCCTCCGAGGGCTCTGGCCTGGCTGCCAGGTGAATAGGGGCCTGGAGGGGTGCACAGATCAGAGAGGGTGGGAGGCCGAGCCCGTGGTCCCGAGGAGACGGAGGGGCAGAGGGAGAACGAAGCACAGCTGTCGGGGTCCCGCTGCGCGGTCACCTGTGTGGATGCGGCTGTGTCGCTCCAGCTGGCTTGGTTTGGCAAAGGCCTTCTCACAGGTGTCACATTTGAACACCCTCGGCTTCTGAGAGCTCAAGGAAGGACCGGCTTGATGTGTCTGCATGTGCTCCTGGTGAAGACAAACACACATGTGAAAAATACTGAAGATCACAACAGAACTTTACAGACTTGAAACAGGAGAGGAAAAACCAGTGCAGAAAGGCCCATCAGTGGGAGGAGGACCACAGGCTCGCCTCCGATGAGGACCCTCGTGGGCGTTCCCGGAGCAGAGTCGGAGGTGGTACCCGGTGGATGGGAGGCCGGGCCTGCGGCTTGCCAGGGAGACCCAGGCTCCCCCCGAGCCCCTGGGCTGCATCTGGGCGGGGTGGTGTCTCGGCCTCCCTCCCTGTCGGCCACCGTGACAGTTGTTAGAGGACCGGCTGGATATTTTGCAGGATGTCCCTCAACTGAGAGGTGTCTGATGTTTTCCTCATCACCAGACCAGGGTTGTGGGCTATGGGCCGTGGGGAGTACCGTGCCATTTCCATCCCGCAGTATCATCACTGCTGACACTGACTCTGATCACGCGGGTAGCATCTGTCAGGTTTCTCCAGGGAAGGGCGGCCATTTTTACCCCCTCCCATCACGTGCCCTTGCTGCCGCTCGCCCCTAAGGAGTGGGGCCACCCTCTCTTGGGGGCAGCGTCCACAGGGGCTACTCGGGATTCTTCTGCACGGGAGACTAGTCTGTTCAGTCGATCATGTTCCCACCAGTAACGACCATGGAGGTTTTGCACTGTGGGCTATAACCCAATTCTACTTTGTTTTCTTGCCCCGGCTGCTCCAGCTTTGGCCCCTAGGACTCTTTCAGTTGCCCCCGTGTCCCCCCCGACACGGTCCCGTCATACACTGCATGTGGGTGTGATGGGTACTTCCTTATTTTCTGGCACAATGTACTTTTTTAAAAATTCCAGATTTCTGAAGGTCATCAAGAGAAAGTAACTTATAAGTACTAAAAGGCCAGATTTAGTATTTCAAACTGTACAACACGCCACTTTAGATGTTTATGGAAGAGTTATGTCTTATATAGAGTAACATATACGATTTTAAACATCTTAAATTTTCTTGAACCATTTTTATTCTTTTCCCTCTTCAAAAGGATTTCTTCTCTATCTATCAGGCTGTAACGTTAGTATAGTTATAATTTCTGTACTGTCAACTAAGAGCTCAGTGCAGGCCTTACGTGCTTTATATTCCTCAAACTAACCCTAAAATGTAAGTATTAACACCCTTATTTTATAAAGCAGGAAACTGAAGCTGAAGACGTTACGTGACCCAACCAGGAGCACAGGGGCTCTAAGTGGCAGAGGTAGAGGCACACAGAGGTCGGGCGGGGCTGGGGGCCCCTCAGGCATAAGGAGCACTCGCCAACCTCGCTGACCTCGGGCTGCAGCCTCTGCAAGAAGAGTTCGTTTGACAGTCAGTGTTTTGCTTTTAAAAACGAACATGGAGTCCTCTTTTCAGAACACATTAATACTGGGGCGTCTCATCTCAGAAAACAGTAGAAAAAGAGGTGAGAGGTGCCAGGCAGATGGAGGCCTGGAGAACAGAAACTCAGTTTACTGACTGACCGCCTCCTCTAAAGGCCCTGAAAAAGCAAGTGTGGGATTCACTGTGCAATCAGGCGTCACAGGATTCTCGTGCTTTTGGTAACTGCTTGCAGCAGCAGAGGAGGGACTCTGGCCCGGAAGTCACAGGCTTGGGCACTCCCCCTGACCAGTGGTCCTGGAAGTACCCTTCCTCATTCTTTCCTCTACTGCGTGGACGTCCCAGAGTGGGACCCTCAGGTTGTCCCCAGTGACTGGCAGCTACGAACAACGCTGACCTAACCCTGAGCTCGGGCGGGCATATATGCCTTTGTGCCAACTCTCATGGTGGGAGCCGCTCTCGCGTGGTTAGGTATCGCCTAATTCCCCTGCAGGACGCCAGACCAATTCTGCAGCCTGCCAGCCATCACGGAAGTTCCTGCTGCCCCAGAGCCCTGCTCATAGGTGCCGACAGAGCTCTCATACTTGTCCCCGCGATGGGAGAAACGGCATCCCAAGGTGATCTGTAAATATGTTCACCTCCACGGGCCTTTCCTCGAAAAGAGATGGGAACCGTGTCGCTCACTAGGAAGAGTCCTGACCCCACTGAGTCCTAGGCCCGTGCAGCGCCTCTGACCTGAAGCGAAGAGCAGCGACGCTGACCTGAAGCGAAGAGCAGCGACGCTGGCGGGAGGGGGGCGGGGGCGTACCTTGAGGTGCGTGGCGCGCTTGAAGGCCTTCCTGCACACGGGGCAGACGTGGATGCGCTCCCGGCCATGCATCTCCTTGCTGTGGTGCAGCAGCAGGGCGGCCGAGGCGAAGGTGCGGCCACACTCCAGGCACTGGTGCACCCGGCCCTCCTTCTCGGGCTGCCCACCCTGGGCCAGGTTAGGAGACACGTCCGTCACCTGGAGCGGGTCAGAAATCCCGGTTTGAAGGGACCGGCGCGAGGGGTACAGGCACCCCCGCCCCGAACCCAGCCCCCGAGCTTGGCTGTCATCTGTGGGAGGCGGCCGGCCTCTCGGTCTCCCGCGGGAGCAGCTGCAACGAGCGGCTCAGGCGTGCCTCAAGCACACTGACCGGGCAGGCTCTGGGGAGCGGAGCGCGGCGCCGGCTGGGACTCCAGCCGCAGACCCCGGCCCCCAGGTCACTTGTCGTGGCCGCTGCGGGCGAGGTCCTCACCCCTCGTCTTTACTTCTCTGCAAAGTTCCAGGAGTTTTTAGGCCTTTATATGTGGAACTCTGTCACTTACTACGTGTTTGTCCACCCTCACCCCTGCTGCCAAACTGCGTTTAAGAAAAAGGACTAGTCAAAGGAGAAATAGGTCATGTACACACACGTGAATGTGTATACTATGAAAAAGTATAGCAAGACTTGAAAGAATCAGCAAAGGTATGACAGGAAATCCTACAAAAAGAACAAAGGCAAGTAAATGGCCATGTGCAATCTGATCAGTGGGCAAATAAAGAAGATAGTGATAGATTTAAAACTAGATTTCCGCATTATTGGAAAATCATGGAACAAACGAGACCCAGTGTTAACCCCCCACCCCCGGGTCCTCCCTGCTCAGCACCTGCTTGTCTCTCGGGAGACACACCTCCTCAGGCTGGCCCCGAGCCGGGCCATGCAGGACTCTCCAGGACCCTCCATCCCATCCCTTCTGAAGCTATGTTTTTTGAAAACTATGAGAGATTGTGGATAAAACGTGTGCTGTACCTGATAGGCGATTTCTTCACAGGCTGCCGACGGCTGTGGAGTGGGGCTCACCAGGATGACCTGGGGCGACCCCGCACCCCCAGGGCCCGAGAGAGTGGGGTCCGTGAGCAAGGCTGGGAACTGCTGACCCTGGCAGAGGTGATTACTGCTTTAGAAGTTGTGACATGATCAAATCCAGTCGTAATTTAAAAGATCTCTTATGGTACAGTAACTTCGGAAAACAAGCTGGCAGGTCCTCAAACGCTAACCACAAAATCACCATATGACTCGGCAATTCCGCTCAGAGAAACGAAAATCTACATCCACTTGAAACCTTGTACAGGAATGTGCACAGCAGCACTATGCACAACAGCCCAAACGGGCAGAGAACCCCGATATCCATGAACTGATGAACCGACAGACAAAATGTGGTACAGCTATACAATGGAACAGTATTCATCAATAAAACAGAATGATGATGACACGGCTACAACGTGTGCAAGCCAGTGAAGGAGGCCAGTCACAAGGACCAGAGTCTTATGATTCCATTTATGGGAAGTGCCCAGAAGCGGCAAACCTACAGAGAGTGGATCAGTGGTTGCCAGGGGCTGGGGGAGACCTGCAGGGGTGGGGTGGATATGGGGTCGAGGGAGGGACGTGGGGAGTGACTGATAACTGATAATGGGACAAGGGTTCTTCTCAGGTGATGAACTGTTCTAAAATTAGATATGGTGATGGTTGTACAGCTCTGCAAATATACTAAAGACCATTAAACTGCACACTTTAAATACATGGGTGAACTTTACGATATATAAATTATATCTCAGTAACCTTGTAAAAAATATATATATATAAAGAACATTTGTTTAAAAATAGACATACAAAACTACTTTGAGTCTTACTGCCACGCCAGCACACCTTTATCAACTGACTGTGAATCTGAGACAGAGAGAGAGAGAGAATGGATGTGGTGAGGGCGATGCAGGGGATGAGTGCAGAGACGAAGTTCAACCTAAAGGAACCAACACTGTACTGCAAACGCGGGCTCCACACTAAGAACACAACTCGAACTGCTACAGTTAAAGCTGATTCTAAGTGTATTTCACACATCCTCAAAACACTCACTCAAAACCATGGATTTGAAGAATCCCCATCAATGCACGATGCTAAGGGGTAAGGGGTCACACGGCCACACAGAACATGGCCCATGTCGCTGGGGGCCTGCAAGCTGAAGGTGAGGGCTGCTGCTCAATGCCCTCATGGGACTGACACAGGCTGAGCCCCAACCGGGAGGACAGAGGCGAGGAGTGGGCGGGGAGATGAAATGCAGGGCCAGACGGCGCTGCGAACACCTCCTCCACCAGAGGATTTCAGGTGCACTCCTTACTGCAAAGACGCCGCCCAAGGCAGATGGGGAAACAAAGGCAACGGGGTAGAATATGGGGTATATGGGGCAAAAAATAAATTTACAAGGTCATCTAGATTCTAGAAAAAAGAGAGCTTCAATTAAGATTCTTTACTTTCCATAGGCAATTTTTTAAAAAGTGAAATAATATTTTAGGTATCTCCATCCATCAGTCCAATTTTCTTACACAAATGTGGGATGGATTGAAAAGTTCCTATGTACCCTAATAAAGCATCATGTCCACTACCCCCCTTACGTAGGGAAGTCGGTTGAATATTGCTACCTTCAAATAGCAGTTACTGCTGCACTTTCACATGTCTGTGGCTGGCTTTGGCCCCCACTTTGATTAGACAGTTGGTACCCAGTGTTGGTACCCAATTTTGAAAAGTTAATCAAATTTGTCAATCAAAAGTAATAAATTCACATTTCCTTATTTTATTAATCAAGAACAAATACAACTGCTGGCCAGAAATTCTGACACACCTGAAGAAATGCTGGCTCAATAAATTCACATATTCCCAACCAAGGCTAAGACATTCGAGACTCGTAGCTCACACAGGTTTATCAAGGGGAGACTGCAATTCCTTTTAGTTTGGAAACGACAACACTGCAGAAGAGATCAGCAGCCGTCAGGGGGAAGCGGAGGCAGATGTGGCTAAAAGGGCAACCTGAGGGATCCTTGTGGGGATGGGCGTGCTCTGCGTCCTGACTGTGCCAATGACAACACCTGGAGGGTGCAGTGCCCTGGTTTTACAAGATGCTACCACTGGAGAAACTGGGTAGGGGGTCTACGGGATCTGTGTTATTTCTTACAATTGCCTGCGAATCCACAATTATCTCAAAATAAAAAAGCTTAATTAAAAAAAAATCCTGAATACGATGTGATTTACTAGCTTACGGTTGGTGTTCCAAAGGCTAATATTAAGTATACTTAATGCAAATGCCCTGATTCAAAAATCAAGTGCCTAATAAAATAAATGCTCAACAATTAGCTATACTTACAGAAATGATGACCTGAATCCGCTAAAATGGCATCATCTAGAAGTCACTTATTTTTGGTTTGTATTATTACTTGCAGTCTGTTTCTTTGCTATATTTCATTTACACTGAGGTGGAAATTGTAATAATTCTCATTCCCCAAGTGCACATGAATTTTGTAGACCCCTGAGCACTGGCTGAGGGGAGCAGGGCTCCCCCTCAACTGCTCAGGGGACCCAGGCTGCTGAGTCAAAATCGCCTGGGAGGGAGCGTTCTGGTCGGCCGGGACAGAAGCCCCTCGCATGCAGTGTCCCACGTGTTCCCTGGGGAAAGGGCCGGGCATGCTGGCAGGGGACCTCACAGGGCGTGAGCCCAGAGCGAGCAGAGGACACGTGACCGTTGTACAAAGGGAAAG